GCTTCTCCCTTCTCTCCTTTCTCCTCCACCAGCTTCTCCCTTCTCTCCTTTCTCCTCCACCAGCTTCTCCCTTATCCACCAGCTTCTCTCTTTTTCCCCTCCTCCTCCACCAGCTTCCTTCTCCCCCTCCTTCTCCCCTTCCTTCTTCTTCACCAGCTTCTCTCCCTCCACCTTCTCCACCAGCTTCTCCTCTTTCTCCACCAGCTTTTCCCTTTTCTCCCTCCTCCTCCACCAGCTCCCTTCTCCACCTCCTTCTCCCTTTCCTTCTTCTCCACCAGCTTCTCCTTCTCCTCCTTCTCCACCAGCTTCTACCCCTTCTCCTCCTCCACCAGCTTCTCCCTTCTCCTCTTCCNCACCAGCTTCTCCCCTTCCTCTTTCTCCACCACCTTCTCCCTTCTCCCCATTCTCATTCTCAATCCACTCTCCCCTCTCTTCTCTCAATTCTCCTCCTCCTCCGCCACTTCCCTCTCCACAGCTTCATCCTCCCTTCTCCTTCGTCATCTCTCCACAGCTTCTCTCCTCCTCCTTCTCCACCACTCTCCCTCTCCACTCTCTCACAGCACCCTTTCTCCCCTTCCTCTCCCTTTCCTCTCTCCACCACTCCTTTTCCCCCTCCTTCGCCCCTTCTCTCCTTCTCACCAAGTTCTTCCCTCCACCACTTCTCCCTTCCCCCTTTCTCCCCACCATGCTTCTCCCTTATCACAGCTTCTCCCCTCTCTTCTCACACTTCTCCCTTCTCCCTTCCTTATTTCACCAGCTCTCTCCCCTGCCGTTCTCCCCAGCTTCTCCCCCTTCTTCAGCCAGCTTCACTCCCTTCTCCCTTGCTCATTCTCCACCAGCTTTCCCTCCTCCTTCACACCAGCTTCTTCTTTTTCCCTCCTCTGTCCACCAGTCCCTTCTCCCTCCTTTCTCCCCTTCCGCCTTCTCACCAGCTCCCTTCTCCCCCTCCTTGTCACCAGCTGCCTGCTGCCCTTCCTATCTCCCCTCCTCCTTCTCCACCAGCTTCTTCCCCTCCTCCTTCTCACCAGCTTCTCCCTCGACACCTTCTCCGTCTCTCCTTTCTCATCACCAGCTTTCCCTTCCTCCTTTCTCCTCTCCACCAGCTTCTCCCTTATCCACCAGCTTCTCTCTTTTTCCCCTCCTCCTCACCCAGCTTCCTTCTCCCTCCCTTCCCCCTTCTCCTCTCACCAGCTTCTCTCCTCCACCTTCTCCACACTTCTCCTCTTCTCACCAGCTTTCCCTTTTCTCCTCCATCCCACCAGCCCCTTCTCCACCTCTTCTCCCTTTCCTTCTTCTCACACACTTCCCTCCTCTCTCCTCCTTCCACCAGCCTCTACCCCTTTCTTTCCTCACAGCTTCTCCCTTCTCCTCTCATTCTCCCACTAGACTTCTCCCTCTCCTCCGTCACCCACCAGACTTCTCCCCTCCTCCTTCTCCACCACCTTCTCCTCCCCTTTCCTCCTTCTACCACCAGCTTCTCCCTCCTCCTTATTCCACCAGCTTCTCCTTTCTTCCCCTCCTCCTTCCACAGCTCTCCTCTCCCTCCTTGTCCCCTTTTCCTCCTTCGTCCACCAGATTCTCCGCCTCCCTTCTCCACCAGGCTCTCCCCTCCTTCCTCCCACCACTTCTCCCTTCTCCCCTCCCTCCTTCTGCACAGCTTCTCCCTCTCCTCCTTCCTCCCACTTCCCTTCTCCCCTTCTCCATCCACCAGTTTCCTCATCCACCAGTCTCCTTACTCCCCTTCCTCTTCTCCACTCAGCTTCTCCCGCTCTCTCTTTTCCACCAGCTTCTCTTCTCCCCCTCTTCCTCCTTCGCGCCTCCTTATCCCCTCCTGCCTCTCCACCAGCTCTCCCCTCCTCCTTCTCCGCCCAGCTTATCTCCTTCTTCACAGCTTCTCCGTCTCCCCTCCTCCGACACCAGCTCCCTTCTCCACCTCCTTCTCCACTCCTCCTTCTTCCACCAGCTTTCTCCCTCTCCTCCTTCCCACCGAAAGCTTTCTCCTTCTCCCACTCCTCCTCCACCAGCCTCCCGTCTCCCCTCTTTCTCCCCTTCTCCTTCTCCACCAAGCTCCCTCTCCCCCCGTTTTTCTCCGCCTTCCTCCTTTCTCCACAGCTTCTCCCTTCCTCTCCCACCTGTCCCTTCTCCCCTCCCTTATCCCCTTCTTCTTCCCCTCAGAGCCTTCCTCTTACAGCCCCTTCTCCCTCCTTATCCCTCCTCCTTCTCCACCAGCTTCTCCTCCTTCTCCACCACCTTCCTCCTATACTCCCCTCGTCCGCCCCGCTTCTCCCACCTCCTCTTTCTCCCCCTTACTTCCTCCACCAAGCTTCTCCTCTCATAACCTTCTCCACCAGCTTCACTCTTCTCTCCCTCGTCCACCAGCCAGCTCCTTTTCTCCCTCGCTTCGATCTCGCCTTTCTCCTTACTCTCACAGCTTCTCCGCCTTCCTTCATCGCACAAGCTGCTCCTCCTCCTTCTCCACGACCTTCATCCCTTCTTCCCTTCCTCCTTCATCACCAGCTTTCTCCCCCTCTTGTCACAACCTTAACTTCTCCCTTCGCCCCTTTCCTCCATCTACACTCCCTTCTCCCCCACCTTATCCCTTTCTCCCCATCCTCCTCCACCCCGCTCCCTTTCTCCCCTTCCTATCTTCTCCCTCCTTCTCCACCAGCGTTCTCCCCGCTCCATCCCGGGCACCTCTTTTTTTTTATCCTCTCCCCCTGACCTCCTTCACATCCAGGCTATCTCCCTTCCTCCTTCCCACCACCTGACTCCCACTTTCTCTTTTGCCACAGCTTCTCTCCTTCCTCCTTATCCCACAACCTTCTCCCGAATCTTCCCATTCCTGTCTGCACCAGCTTCTCCCCTCTCTTCTCACCAAGATTGCCCTTCCTCATCTCCACCATGCCAGCTTCTCCCGCCTCACTACCTTCTCACAGCTTCTCCCTCTACCTTCTCCACCCACATTCTCCCTTCTCCCCTTCCTCATTCGTCAACCAGTTCTCCACCACATAGGGGCAGACTATTCGGTCTACTCGTGCAATACAACAGGCTACTTTCCGACAGCGCATATATATGTTTTGCTTCCTGCAATTTATTCAAATAAGATATTAACAGTACATTATATAATTAAGTTTTTTTAAAGAATTTAATACATTATAAATGTCCTGAAATAAATTTATAGTGGGTAACCTGGGCTACTACAAATAAGAAATAACAACCCACATACGCGTTTATGCGATCACGGTGGAGGCCATTTATCGCGAGTTCACATATTTCGCGTGAGAATATCCAGGTAAACATTTGAGCGGGAAGCAGTAAAAGCAATGTAGACGTTAGGTAGAGTTACAGTTTCATTATTAGCATTTTAATTGTGCCCGATCAACGTGAAGCAATTATCTAGATTGCTTCACTTCAATTGTGTACACTATTCTGTGGATACTAACAAAATTGAGTTGGAAATAAGTTCGATAGGCCCTAGATTGCTACAATATTGTAACCCAAACACAGGATAGTGGTGCATTACTATTACTAGTATTACTATTAGTAATAGTATTACTATTAGTATTACTGTATTAGTATTACTATTACTATTAGTAATAGTATTACTATTAGTATATATCAAATGTACTAATACTAATACTTACTAGTAGTAGTACCCCTGTCACACCTACCCGCGATCACGCTCGCGCTCCCACTACGACCTGAAAAGTATGAAAGCGCGAGGAAAAGTGCAGTAACTGGTAAGGTCTCTGAGAACGAGTTGGTGACACAGTGGAAACTGTCAAGGACTGAAGAGGGTCGCCGTGAGCTACTTTGAGCGCCAAACCTCGACGCTTGTGTTGTTTGAATCAAAACAAGTGCAGGGTTCTCCCTACGTTGCGCAAACGAGGCGCGCGCCCCGTTTTGACTTCCCCCCTGTTTGAATCGTTGCGCCCCCTTTAAATTACCTGCCGCCGTTTAAATTCCACCACAATAAAAGTTTGCCAGCGCGGGATCGATCGTCAAGATTGCCGTTCGACAGGAACATCCGACGCGGTATTTTTACCGTACCACGCATGCACTGCAGACAGTACACAATTAACCTGACAATGCCACAGTTAACCTGTCACTACAGGTCGAAATTAGATTTTAGCTATGGTATCCATTCGGGATACCAGGTATGAAATCTGGATCCCCCCAAAGATCTGGTATCCGCGATTTTTTTGGATAGTAATTTCACAATGTGTATCCAAAATCTTGAAATATGCAATAATAGCATTTGAAATAATTACTATGTTAAATGTAGATTAATATATAAAATCTCGCTCCCGCGTCTAATCATTAGTGGGCTGAGTGCATTCGCCGCGATTATTTACCATAGATAATACAACACAGGTGTTGTATATATATCAAGAGTGCATAATAGAGATCTCTATTATGCACTCTTGATATATATCTATGATTTTACAGCCGCCTCCACAGTACACTGCGACGTCATTGTCTAGACGCTTGTTCATGGTTCGCTTGATACAATCGTAGATACAATGTATACACATCGTTCGCAATTATGATCAACATCGCCACGCTTGCGCTTTCAAATATGCTATGCCTGCTGTTTATAAAACGCTAGTGTGACATAGTAAATTAGTAACTAAAGGGCGCGCACTCCGGCTTCTCGCACTTGCTCAGATGCGCTGCCGTATAAAGTGATAACTCAACACCACTATCCTGATCATGCACGATTTTTTTTTCTATCCCGGCGAGATACCAAGCATTTGAAATCTGGTATCCCGCACAAGAATCTGGTATCCCGCGTATATCGGATTACCGCTGATTTTCGACCCCGCACTAAAACTGTACACACGACTTTCGGCGTATCTTTATTATACAAGAACCCCAAATACCGTCTCATGGTGTGGTGGGCGATTTTACGCAGATTAATTAGTCGTACGGTAAAAATACACGCCCCCCCCCCCTAGTTGCAAACGTATTGAGAGCGTAGTAAGAGCGCAGCGAGAGCTACTTGGACTCACTGAGAGCGCACAGAGTGCACGCAGTGGGAGCGCACTGAGCGCAGTGGGAGCGCAGTGAAAATCAAACTGGGAACGCATAGGATCGCAGTGAGAGCGTAATAAGCAAGTCAAGAGCGTATTGTAAGCTACTGTTAAGCTACATGGTGTCACACCATGGTCACACCACGCCATGGATTTCCATGTACTGCGCTTTTCTTCGCGCTTTCATACTTTTCAGGTCGCAGTGAGAGCGTGAGCGTGATCGCGGGTAGGTGTGACAGGGGTATAACTTATATGGAAACGTTTCGACGTTAGGGCGTGTGAAACATCTCACGAGTTAGCCGGCGAGGCGAGCTCACCGATCTCCAGGAGGGTGAACTCATCCCACGAGCCGAGCTCACCGATCTCCAGACGAGTGAACTCATTCGTCAAGATAACGTCATTTCGAAATAACGCCTTGGGAAATAAATTCACGATTTGAGAGTTGATGAGCTAGAAACACTCGGATTGGGTATGAAAATGAACATTATTGTAAACTTTACATCAGAAGATTGCAAATAATTGCCTCAGCCCTCAAAGAAACGCTGAAAAGGGCCTTCGACGGCTGCCGTATCTTCAGCCACTCCGGAACTATTATTATCAGGTTATTATTGCCCTTGTAATGTTCGCCGCAGCTGCAGGGGCGAATAAGCCCGGGGGCACTCCCTACAAAATAGAGTAGGTATGTGCAACTTGAAAGATGGAATTGGAGGGCTCCGGTACTAACTCGTCACATCAAAATGGGATCACCGGAATTAGGGTTGGCTGGAAAGCATGATGCTCCAGAACTGGACATGTTTGCGAGGGGGGGTCACCGGAACGTATGGAAAAAGTAGAACCTATGCTCCGGGACAGGAAATATGTGAAAAGGGGGTCTCCGGTACGGAAAAAAGTAGGACCTATGCTCTAGGATGTGAAACACAAACAACCACTTCCTTAATGTTTATTTGTTCGGATTATTACTCTTGAACCTGGGTAAAACGTACTTTATCAAGAAAATTTCAGTAAAATTCTGCAAAAAATCACTCAACCATTTTGTAAACCGATGGCTATGCAGCATAATTTTTATACATTTATAGCAATGGCTTCAAGACGGACCTGCAGCTCAGCTCAAATATGATTTGCATAAGAATGATAAAGTCAATCTGAGTTAGATCCATAATAAAGTTATAACGTATAAAAACTTACACTGACGATTATTATGGATCTAACTCAGATTAACTATTTTCCTCTGAACTATAGAGATTCGATGACTTTTCTCAATCATAAGAATGATGTTACGTACACAAAAACGTCCATTGAGCAAGCAAACGGTGCCGATCAGGTTTTTTTAAATATGACACAGGCAGTAAGCCGCAGTTGCTCTGGTTTAAAAAACAGCAAAGAGTTATATTCTTGCAAGAATATTCGCGATTTCTCTGGGTACCCAAGTTGTACCTACATTCAAGAGTGATAAATACATCAAGTGGAAATTTGGCTATGCCCTGATATCATTATGGAAGCGGTTGTTTGTGTGTAATGCAGTTTCTCTTTACTGGTTTATATGTACTACAGATTGCTGGTACATGCACGATATGTTTTTAATAAAGATTAGTTAAATATGCAGAATTTCTGCATTGAGTGCTAATATGTATTCAGAATATACAATTTCATATTTTCATCAGTTGTAGCAAATAACTTGCGAACACTAAAGACTATGGTCAAGTAAGAGATTTATATGTTACAATACTAGTTTGTCAAAATGTTGCACCTGTATTTGAACCACATAATGGAGGCTGCTATGGATTCATTGATAAATGTAGGTTTTCTCCTTGGTGGCACCGGATGGCAATTTTAAAAAAATTCTAAATTTTTGCAGAGATCCCATTAGTGTGCTTGCATGTTCATTCAATATATATATAAATGATAATGATAGCTGTTTTTTCTCTTATTTAGAATAATGTCAGAAGATGCTGCAGCGATGTCAGAGCTGGAACAGGCTGCAGTAGCAGCTCGTGCGTTGCAAGGTAGCAATGTGTACAACTACTCTATACATGCTTCTAACTATTGATGTGTCTGAATAGACTGATCTACTCTGAAGTAACTACTAGAACTAGTTTAAAGTGCAAAATACTGTGTGTGCTACATTTATACTAAAACAATTGGTGACATTCTGCCCTTTGTTGTGGTAGATGATTTATTATAAACTTGCTAGAATCACATTGATGTTGTCCCATTAATTTTAGATGCAGGTGATGGCGAACCAGTTGCTAAAAAGTTCAAAGGAGGTGATATGGACGAAATTAAGGTTAAAGTTCTTATGTGCATGATGTCAAGAGCTTTTACCACAATAATTGATAAACAGAAGTATACGTGTTAACATGCACCCATATAGGGTAATATGTAATTAAATGCATATTTCAGTATTAGGCCACAATTAAAAAAATCTTTGTTTGCCCTCACCCAACCCAGGCTGAAAAGTTTGGGTAGGTAGGTATGGGGCGCCAAGTGTCGCATGACTGATTTCGTTACGAAATCAATGATTTTGTAACGAAATCAAGTCTACAAAGTGATTTCGTTACGAAATCAACTACTGCGAGTGATTTCGTTACGAAATCAGCTAGCTGCAAGTGATTTCGTACGGAAATCATTGCACACTTGGCCGCCCCCGGCACGCAAGTGTCGCATGCTTTACTTTTCGTTACAAAATCAAGTCTTACAAAGTGGATTTCGTTCTACGAGAATCAACTACTGCGAGGTGATTTCGTTACGAAAGCGAACTATCGCGAATGATTTCGTGACGAAAGATGCGACACGTTTTGGCGCGCTGGCGCCGCCAAGGTTGTTAGCATAACTTGCATTTCGTAACGAATAAGTCTACATAAGTGATTTCCCCGTACGAAATCAACTATCTGACGCGTTATTTCGTACGAAATCCATGCCGTCCACTCAGCGCGAGCCGGACGCGCAAGTGATAGCCATGACTTTGATTTCGTTACGAAATCGAGCTTTTTTCCCTTTTTTTCTTCCTGCTTTTTTTTTTTTTTTTTTTTTTTGTCTTGTCTTCTTTTTTTTATTTTCTTTTTTTTATCAGCGAGTTGATATTCGTCTAACGAATCATGCTACACTTGGCCGCGCCTGGGCGCGCCCAATGTCGCATTACCTGATTTCGTTACTAAATCACGCCTACTGCACATCAAGTGATTTCGTAAGAAATCATGCTTACTACGTGGCGTGTGGCATTGGCGCCCAATGTCGCATGAAACTGATTTCGTTACGAATTCGACTGATTTCGTAGGCTACGAAATATCAAGCTCTAGCAATAATGATTGTCGTTAATTCGAAATCAACGTCTACATAAGTATTTCTGTTACGAAAGTCAACACTGCGACGAGTGATTCGCTGACGAAAGTGCAGCGTTATCGTGCAGAATCGAGGTGATTTCGTTACGAAATCATCCTACAAACTTTTCGGCCGTGTGGGGGCGCCAAGTGTCGCATGACTGATTTATCTACGAAATCAAGTTACAAAGTGATTTTCGCTTACGAAATCAAGTACTGCGGAGTGACTTTCGTGGACGAAATCAGCTACTGCCCGAGGTACAAGACTAAGACACTAATACTTTTAACACCCTAATAAATTATTGTTAAATTTGGTTAATTATAAATTGTTGTAAATAAATTCATGAAATATTTGCGTTAATTGCAAATTGGTGGGGAAAAAAACTCCTGACTTTCTCCAGGATCGAAGCAAAGGTGGACCGCCAATATCGATCTCAACAATAGGGAAAGCTGTGGGAGATAGGAGGAGGGGGATGAGAAGCTGGGCGTAGCTTCTTCCTTCTCCACCAGCGTTCTGCCTCCTTCTCCACCAGCGTTCTCCCTTCTCCCCCCTCCTCGCTTCTCTACCAGGCTTTCTCCCCCTCCTTCCCTTCCTCCTTTGTTCACCAGCTTCTCCCTCCTCCTTACCATTTCTCCAACCCAGTGTTGTCCCTTCTCCCCGCTCCTCCTCCACCAGCTCCCTTCTTGCCCCCTGCTCCCTTCCTTCTTTTCCACCAGCTTCTCCCTCCTCCTTCTCCACCAGCGTTCTCCCATTCTCTCTTCTCCACCACCTCTCTCTTCTCCCTTCCTCTCTTTCCACAGCTTCTGCCCCCTCCTCCACAACCTTCTCCCTTCTCCCCCTCCTCCTCCACCAGCTCCCTTCTCCCCTTCCTTATCCCCTCTTCTCCCTTCTCCCTCTCCTCCTCCACAAACTCCCTTCTCCCCCTCTCCCCTCCTCTCTCACAGCTTCTCCCCTCCTTTCTTCTCCACACAGCTTCTCTTCACTCTCACCACCTGTCATCCCTTTCCCCTCCTCCTTCTCACCAGCTTCTCCCTCCTCTCCACACCTGCCCTTTCTCCCCTTCCTTACTTCCACCAGTCTCTTCTCCCTCCTCCTCCACCACCTTCTCCCTTCTTCGCCCTTCATTCTGTCCACCAGCTTCTCCCGTCTTCTTCTCTCCTTCTCCACCAGCGGTTCTCCCCATCCTCCTTCTCCACCTCCGTTCTTCCCCTCTGTTACTCCACAGTTCTCCCTCTCCTTTCTCTACGCAGATTCTCTTTGTTTTACCGGCCATTGTATAGCGTCATAGCGTGTGCGCGAGGGGGAGGGCGCGTTACAGCTGTCTATACAATCAGGCAGTAGATGATAGGGTAATAGAATATTCGGATTATCTCACTCCTGATACAATGCGCCCAGTCAAAACAGTACGAGGCGGGCACGGGCAGGGATTCTTGGAATTTGTGCTTGTGGCCTTTTGATCTTGTCGTTGTAGGAGATTTTGCACCATTCTGTGTTGTGGCCTGTTCGCATATTGTTGTGCGTTTTGCATTTGTGGTTGTGATGTTTTTGTGCGTTTGTGTTGTGATTTGCGTTTGTTGTTTTTTTTGCGGGGCGGGATTGAATTTGTGTGCTGCGTGATTTGTATTTGTGTGTGGATTTGTATTTGATGTGTTGTGGGATGTTTGTGATTTGTGGGGTGTGCTTCTGGTGTCACCGTAGAAGCACCATGCCGACACTTGCGCCTTACGCCAAGTGTAGGCATGATTCTTGTGAACGAAATCACATCGATGGTAGTAGCTGATTTCGTCACGAATCACATCGCAGTATGTTGATCGTAACGAAGATTACTTGTGTAGACTTGATTCGTAACGGAAATCCTTTGTAGACCTTGATTTCGTTCACGAACATCACAGGGGGCGTGTGTGGATTTGGTGACTGGGATTCGTTAGCGAAACAAGTGATTCAGTACACTGAAATCAGTGCCATGTGACCACTTGGGCGCCCCTTTACGCTCTCAAGTGTAGCATGATTTCGTTAACGAAATCACGTCGATTTTTAGTTAGCTGATGTATGTAACGAAATCCATTAATGCAACATTTGTCGGCGCGCGCGGCGCCACAAGGTGATAGCATGATTTTTCGCTTACGAGAACATCCCTCACTCAGTAGCTGATTCGCTAACGGACATCAACGTCATGCTACACTTGGCGCGCCGGCTCGGCGCAGGTCACCGGTGGGGGACTCGGACCGCCCCTCTTTCGCTCCCACCATGTCCCCCTCAGAGTGTCGGCATTTGAATTTCGTAACGAAATAACGCTCTGCAGTCAGTTGATTTCGTAATCGAAATCCATGTAATACTTGATTTCCGTTACGAAATTCACTTCTGTATACTTGATTTCGTTACGAATCATAGTCGTATGCTTACACTTGGCGCGCCAGTCGCATGCCCTTATCAGTCACGAAATCCACTCGCAGTAGTTGAATTATAACGAAATTCCATTCGCCAGTAGTTGATTTCCGCAACGAATCACTTCGCAGTTAGTGTGATTTCGTAACGAAATTCACTTGTGGTAGGACTGGATTATGTTAACGAAATTAGAAGTCTATGCGACACTTGGCGTGCCGCTGGCGCCAAGTGTAGCATTGATTTCGTAAACGAAATCATTTGCAGTAGCTCATTTCGTAAAGCCGAAATCACTGCGCAAGTAGCTGATTTGCGTAACGAAGTCACCTCGCAGTAGTGATTTCGTAACGAAATCACTTTGTTAGTACCTTTGATTTCGTTACAAAAAAATGCATTGATTTCGTAACTGAAACTCCGAAGTCGACGACGACCCACTTTGGCCGTCTCCCATTATGGTACGGTTAGGTTCTTTATATTTAATGGCGCATAGGGATCTTTTTACAAATTCAGCATGGTGTCTACATGCTCGGGTGTGCTTGTGTGGAGATACCTTTTATGTTGAATGTTTGTTTTGCTTGGTACATATAATGTATTGCCTACAGATTTATATAATGTACAGTGATACAATTTGTAAAAAAAAAAAGAATGTGAAAGATCAATACAAATTTTTGAGTCGGCCCCTTTTTGGCGGGTCGGTCGGTTGAGGGCAAACAAACAATATTTTTATTATGGCCTTAGTCCTTGTCAACCCGTGCAGACCTAAGCAAATCAAAGAAGCTTCTACATGCATGATGATAATTTGCTTTTGAACCAAGTTGATTTATATTCCAGTCCATCCTGGTCACTATCAACAAGGCTATATCGCTGCGGCTGGATGCGATTGAGTCAAGGCTGGACAATGTCACTAAGACTTGTGAGATGCTGGAGGTGCGGGTGAATACACTTGGCACTACAGTGAAGGAACAAGTGGAAGCTTATTCTAACAGGTACAGGAATTTCTGGCACTAATGTTAAGCTGGATTTACACTACCGACTTTGTGTTGGTGAATTGGCGAATTGGACCAACTTCTCAACTATACAATCGTCAGTGTAAACGCAAGTGTGTTGCGCGACAAACCGATCGATAGCAACTAGTTGGGAGATTAGAACATATTCTATTTTTACAAACTCGGAGTTGCCGAATTGTTGAATTGGCCCAACTCGCCAATTCTCCAACATAATGTCAGTAGTGTAAACCCAGCTTTAGCCTGCCATATACAGCCATTATATGTGCAGTTACATGACTTATGCAATCTTGGTGGATCATCAGAAGTGGCCCTGAGGTTCCTGAACTATGTCTGCATAGTCTGTGTAACACCATTCACATGCATGCTATCTGGTTACAATATTAGTGTCAGTGGTGCCTAATGACCTTTTGTGAAAATTCTGAAAAAGAATTTGTGTGATGTTCCAACATATTGCCTTTGCATGTACAGATGTATGTTGCTAGTAGTGCATGGCGGTATAATAATAAAGTAAGTAATACTAATTTCTTCCTAACCTTGAATCATTTATGATGTAGTTAAGGGGAAAGTTTAGCCCTAAAGATAACCATAACTAATAATTAAACTGCTGGTGGGTAATCTGGATGTGAGCCCACCTTGGCTCATGTTTGTAGAGCATATAATATTATGTTTATTGTCGTGAAGAAAACAATTGAACATAATAATAAAAGCTCAATTGTGTGTTACACATACATAATATCAGGAGTTAATAAAGACAAAGGAGTTTGACACGTATTTGGTACTGATTTCACTACATTTTTACCAACCAGCGCAGCGTTTACTGTGGGATTCAACCATAAAAACAAGGCATTCTAACTATAGTTTCAAACGTATAGGTGCAACGTAACTTAATTTCTAAGCGCATTTTCTGCACTCGGCTAGACTACGGCCTAAAAGCCCTGCCGCGCCTCCTTCCAGTTGCTGTGTATGCAAATTTCCTGCTTGGCCTCGCCACACGACCGTAAATAACGTGAAAACTATTTCGTGCAAAAGTATGAATTATGTCAAAACGAAGGAAGCTACGCGGTTTGTAATACTACCGGAAGATAGAATAAGGACCAGTGAACAAAAGAAGCTCATGTTTGTATACATTTGTATTTTTATTAACATCGAACTCGTACGACAAAAATGTAGTGAAATCAGTACCAAATACGTGTCAAACTCCTTTGTCTTCATTAACGCCTGATAATATATAGTCAGATTATGGATGTATATGTATAATTATTTAATGAATTTTTCCATAAGAGTTTAATGTTTCTTATATTCAGAGTAAGTGACTCTTCTGTCTGACATGCATGTCAAATGTATCATTTGATGCTTGATATCTTTATAGGTTGTCAAATGGCAATGATAAGAAGCAACCAGATGGCATGCATGCACAGGATATGCAAAAGAGCAACGATGGAGGGGCCTCAGGATCAGACAGCGAGATGAGGGCTAATGAGCAAATAGGTAGCACAGTTTTTGTCATGTGCTTTTAGAAGAAGATCAGTGAAGTTGAGAGCTTTACTTGCTGTACTGTCAAGAAACAAACTAATAATTGTTTAGTAAACTTTGTGCATTTGCATATTTTAAAGTATATTTGCAAATTTCAGTTTGAAATTGAAAAGTCAATTGTGAAAATATGAGTTGCTGCTGGCTGTAATCTGGTGTAGTTAGTTTGTCATGTTATGCTGCAATTATAGTAGTTGATTAGTGGTCTGTAACTGTCAGTTATTATGCAATTTGAATATTTATGACACCTTGGGTTAAAAAGGACCAGTATTGTGATGGTGCAGACAGACAACTTCAATCATCATCTTAAACTTGAAGCAACTCATCTAAAACTTTCATAACAAACATAATCTGTTTATTGTAGATAGAGTCATAGATTCAATAAGAGGCAACAGTTCTGTGGTGTCATGTCTTCGAGAATTGTTTCAGACAAAACACAGCCATTTTCTAATTGTACTTATACTGATCCTGAACTACTTTTACCTCAGATGACTCGGTGGAGCATTCGCAGGACGCATACAATTATATAGGTAGGGGAGCTGTGACACTCATCACACTAAACTCGTATGAGGATTACCCAGATGGCTCTTGGATGGGTGATGAGAGCAACATAGAAATGAGAGTGCGATGCCAAATCACTCCCAAGTATGTAGTCCACTCATGTTCGCACATCACAGTACCACCTTGTCATGGTCATGTGCATGTAAATAGACTGTCAGAGCCAAAGGAAGTGTTACAGTGTCTACACATTGGGAGTTTATTATGGTTGTTCCATGTTGTAAAGTTGAACAGATGAGTGGTGTGGGTGTTTCACATTGTAGAGTTAATCAGTTTACCTGTATAGAAGTTCCATACAGTTGAGCTGACAAAGTTAATTGTACAGGTTTTACACTTAGTAGAGTTTGTCAGGTGTAGTGATACAGATGTTATGTTCAATGCTGCTATAATTTCCATGGTATTAATAATGTTGGGTATTAAATAAGTTTTCAGCAGCAGCCAGTGAATTGCTGGGTCTTGGTTTCTATTAGTATTATTATGCTGTTACAAATATTTACAGTAATAAATTGGGGTGCCTTTTTTCTCTTGTGCTAAGGTTTTTATCCATGCATTTATTTTTCTAGGGAACTGCTACACATTAACACTGCTCACAAAACTCCAGAGAAGATGGCACTGAGCCTTTTGGATGCACTATTTGACAGAGAGATACAAGCAATATCAAACATCTCTGGGACAGGAAAGCACAACAAGAAACAATTAGACCCCTTGATGGTTTATGGCATTCGATGTAAATATTTGTTTAAACTGAAATGCTACGTGAAGCTTGTATTTTTGAAGGGATATTACACCCTAGAATCTCAGGGTAGATTATGAAACGAACAATTCTTTTATAGATATTTCTAATAAATATTAAACAAAATTTTTTATGTAGCATAATTTAACCCTATTTTAACTGAAAATATGCAAGGAACCTACCTATGGTCATGAGTATTGCCAAATCTCAGTCTTTGTCCTGGATTCCTCCGAGCATTGCTCAATGCTGTTTGATCTTGACATGCTACGTGTTTTTGTTGTTGAATTTCACAGGCCACCTTATTCATCATTTCAACATCAATGAAATTGATTGGTATAGAATCAAGCAAAACCTTGACTCCAAATGCCGGAGTGCCCACCGACGCAAGGTTAGAGGGCAGAACATCTCTCCTGGCAAAGGGCCGCTTCACTCATTTGGTGCAGGGAGCCAGAGTGATGAGTCACAAGATGTACGTTTTGCCACGCATAGAATACTTTTTCCATTGTTATTAGGCAATGCAAACCTTTGCAGCGATCAATTTAAATATTATAACACCTTGTTAAGTGATTCTCTAAGTGAAACAGGCATCAGTAACAATGGGAATTTCACTGCTAATGTTATCATGGTGAATAAACAAGCTTCATGCCCAGATGTTTTCGGATGTACTTCTTACAATTTACATGAGAGTGACTATTCAGAATTTAGCTGAAACGTCATATGTTAAGTTTGATTACTGTGTAATATCTTTATGCAGTATCCTGGGGAGTTGTCTATACAGCAGGAGGGTGAAGGAGAGGACCAGTCTGCCATGGCTCTGGTGACAATGCCCAGTGGAGAGCAAGTACAAGTGATGCCATCACAGATACATGTAAGTACACTTTGTAGTTCTCAGCAGGGTTCGACACTAACACTAGTCCGTTAGTCTGAGACTAGTAAAAAATAAGAAGGACTAGTAAATGCCCCATAGCCGTTAGTCCTGCGTACTAGTTATTTTCCCCGTCCTTCACCGTTCCAATTTCCCATCTTCCTATCGATTTTACTATAGTCCCCGGCGGCAGCTTCTCTCAACCAAGATCCAAAGAGCTATATATAACTCATTGCCATCAACAAGTTTTCCCTGTTAGACGCGCTAGTACAAGTAGATGCTAGACCCTATGACAGTACAAACATTGTTAAACAATGGGGCCACAAACTAGTCTACGGATCGATCGCTTGACAGTAGCTGTTGACATAGAACAATTAATGGTCTGATTGTATAAATGACAATTATAATAAATCAGTTATACGTTCTCATAGCGAGGTATTTACATCGCAACCACATCGCATGCGTGTTTTACTTGAAGCAGTCGATATAAATAGTTATCTATAGTAGTGATACAAGTAGTGAAGCATAGTAGTAGGTACATCCTTATCCAATACTAACATCAAGGTTGTTATGTGGAAGTATTTGGACGGAGCTCGTCCTCCACCTCCTAAACCTAAGTCGCAGGAGGAGAAATTAGATGGCCAGCGTGTATATGATAAGACCAAAAGGATGCTTACGTTCCAGCCAGCGTAGAAATCGGCATACCCGTGGCTAGAGTATGACCTGTGATGCAGGCTGTATGTCTGGTAGTTTTTTCACCGGCACTACAAACTATCGTTTGGAAACTGTTAAGGTGCATGATGCTTCCGAGGGGCACATAAAGATCATAGCAAAAAGAAATGCAAGGACCATGCCTGTTCACGAAACAGTGGGGGCAAAAACACTAACTTTAATGAACAAGGCCATAATAGCAAAACTGAATATCCTAATTAGAAATGCACATGCTATTGGAAAAAACTGCAGGCCCTACACCGATTACGTCAAGCTGTGCCAGCTTGACAAGACCAAGGGGTTAGATGTCGGCAGCACTTACCTTACCGACAAGGTCTGCCAGAGGTTCATTACGGCGATAGCCGATACAAGGCGCCGGGAACAACATTTGTTTTTAGCTCATCTGACATAGTCAGATGCAGCTTGTAGAATCGCATGATCGTCCGTCCGTCCGTCCGTCAACAGTTGGGCACAAATCTAAACGGCTCGACGTACGGTCACGTTATTCGGGACGTGGGGGGGTAATCCGAAAACGAGTTGGGATGTCGAAGCTGGGGGTCAAAGGTCAAAGGTCAAGCGTCAATGAGGTGTACAAGAATGGGTGACATCACGCGCTTAACTTAAGGTATAGGGAGGAAATGCAGAATTGCGGCACAAATCTAAACGGCTCGACCTAGCTCTCGTGATAGTTGGTGTATAGCATCATGGTAGGAAAAGCCATCACTGTGCTGAAATGGGAGTCACAGGTCAAAGTCAATGAGAGCACAGGGCAGATTTTAACATTTTTCTGAGGACATGGTCTGACAGAGCGATTGAAAAACTTTTTTGTTTCAGCGTGACCTAGCATTTTTATGGCATTATTGAAAGGACCATGAAATCTACTTCTGCTGACATGCGAAGAGTAAGTGTCAGAATAACCTTTTGAACTAGTGGCTGTCATCGGATATCGCACACTCATCAAAGTAATCGCGCATGGATTTTGCGCTCCGAATCGATATCGAAATTTAACGAAAAATAGCGATCCGTACAGTATATAAAAATAAAGAGTTGGTACATCTTTACGCGCCAGCGAGCTTGCCGTGTCATTTTACATACGGCACAATACGCTGAACGTACATGTATATATAGACGCATGTTCGGCTTCTTTATACAATGTATTACCATCAGCGTTCGCTGACCTGAGCCCACCCCTGTAATTATCTCGCGCCTTAGGCCTTAGAAAATATCTCGAAAAATGCGCTAAATATTCCTTTCCGGAATAATCTTCCAAAAAATCTCTTAAATATCTCAAATTTTGTTTCTAAATATCCCCAAATTTTTTCTTAAATATCTTCAGTAATTTCAACGTAAATGTCTTTTAAACATATTTATGTTTGGTGGCGAAAAAATCGCAATACAGAATTATATTTAAATTAAATTTTATTAAAAAATTATAAAATAATATAAATTAAACAATTTTTATAACAGAAAAAGACAATCATTCTTCAAATCCTTTATATTTCGAGAAAATATGGGTTTTATCTTCTAATATTAAGGAATTTTCTAAATATCCAGATTTTCTATAATATCCGAAAAGTTGCTAATATCTAAAAAATATCCGGAGTATTGTATCTAACGACTACATCCGCCACGCTTTATACGCTTATCTATGCACGTGTATAATGCCTAGTGTGGCGTAGTAATGCACGAAGGCGTCGTTGTCGTAACAGGCTACTACAGATATGTACCCGAGGTAGTTTTAGGTTGTTTAGTCTTATGTTTAATATTTTTATAGTGCAGGTATGTTTAGGGTTAGGCGTTACGGGATTAAGGGGCTACACTTTCTGTAAGTCAAGTTGCGTAAACTTTTGTGTTACATATATGTACTCGGGATCCATATTCTGTAGTACCCTGTTCGACAACGACCCCTTGAGCCGTAGATAATGGATACATCATGCTATGCAGCGAGACCGATGAGAATCGCGGTGCCTGAGCTGTTCAGATCGGCGCACTCGCTCAGATGCGCTGCCCGCTATAACGTTGTTAACTCAACAACCACCTATCCCGATTTGTCTTAACTATTCGAAGCGGATACCAAGCTTTAGGAAATCTGGCATCGCAACACAAAAATCTACTATCCCGCGAATATAATAGGAGGTACGCTAATTGTCGACCCCGGTGCCCCAAAATATCATTTCGTCACTATACTATCCCAGATCTTTTTTGTATATGTACTTACTCCATACACTAGAAATCTTCTTTGAGTATTCATATGACCTGCCTTGGGTAGGTTAAATTCTTTTTTCATTCATGCTCCAGTTAAAGGAAAGAGAAGTCTGTGGTCGGGAATATTTGCTAAGTTTCTTTTGCTACATAATGTTTTATATATAGTTAAAGTGCAATCGGATCCGATCGAAACGATATCAGAAACAAAATATCAATATCGGAATCGAAATAATTTTATACAATGACAGCGCCTACTTGTTGAACCCCAAGTAGGACAGGGTTAAACATTGGATTTGTTGACTGTCTGTTAGAAAAGGAATATTGACTGCCGGGTTTATCTAGTAGAATCTATACATGCCTGGATGTATGCAGGCTACAATTTCACAGTGAATTTCAAAAGCTAAATTTTGGTTAAAGAAGGTTTATGCTCCTTAAATCGTTATAATTTCTATGGAATTCTGTACTGTCAGTATGTTACATGTTACCGTAATGCCACTGCAGTGGCTACTGCCAGTGCATGTGTTGGTTGGGTACTGTGTAGTTTTTGCCTGCGTTATTGGTTACAGGTGGCAGCTCTCTATTGCAGCCTGTAGGCTTGCCTAGCGGTAAATGGATGGATGGCTGCTTACCTATTCTGTCTTGCAATAGTCTGTTGCTATCTACGTACAGATGGGAGCTTCCATTTTTAATCTGGAAGACACTGTTAACGTACGCGCCATTCCGGCGAACTTTCATAACGATTCCAACGCACTTCCTTTGAGAAGGTTCCTGATACCATCCCTGTGCATTCCACTGTTTCGGCGTGTATGTGAACACATTTGGACTAACAGAGTTTATGAATCCCACCACTCCACCACAGAGTCACCGCAGTAGACGTTAGATGAGCGCTGTCGCTCCGCGGCACTTGTCTTATGATCCATATCAAAGTTACGTATATTTTATACAATTGAATGTCTTTTACAAAACCTTTCTGGGGGAGACCCCTTGTACCCTGGGGAAGACCCCCTGTACCCCCTAGCAGAAGGGGGGCTCCACCCTCCTACCCCCCGGCAAATCACAATGCTCGTCACTTTGTGTCTAGTAAGAGTCCTTCGGCAGGACTAGTAGAATCTTGGAAGGACCAGTACATTTTTTATTTACTAGTCCTGTGGACTAATGAACTAAAATGGTTAGTATCTAACCCTGCTCAGTGGATCATCTTTGGGAAAATCATATATTGGTTTGGTGAATTCATGAAATGTTAGATTATCTATAGTCTGTATGATTAACTGTGGAATTAGTTGTGGAATTAGTCATTAATAGTTTCAGCTGTGTATAACAATATAATAGAATAACAATAGCTGCTGTATATGCTGTGCCCTTATGATTTCGTTAACGAACCAGTAAAGTCTCCACTTACTTTGACACCTTAAAAACTGTTTATGTAAAATATTTATTAGGGTTGCTGTACAAACAAATAAAATGATACGGAATAGGGGGTCCTCTTAGATATCTGGACATTTTGTTCAGTTCAAGTGCCCTAAACAAAAACAAAAGCAAAAACAAAAACATTTTGTCCCATGTAATTTGATTTGAATTCCTAGAATGACTACCTAGACTAGTTTAAGAACTCCTGGGTATGTTAATTGCACCTAATAATGTGCGCAACTGCGCGCAAGATCTGCGCTCAGCGCTTCGGATCAACACCTTTCGGCAACGCTTCTCTAGTATCCCGTCTCATCTGGATGTTTTTTTTACAGAGATTTAGTATAGAGATGTGTAGAGCATAGAAAGACTGTTTAGAGCCATTATTCTCCTACACCAGAATATTTACACGCTGTTGTATCACATTCGTACTACGTTTATATTTAGGGCCCACATTTCATCCGTATTCTACACAGTGAGAGATGGCGTGGCAGGTGGCGCTACGGTGGTGGTGGTGGTAGTATTGTTAATAGTTAGGAGTGCTTGATATTCTTGGTACTACTGACAACACTGTAGTTCCTTGGCATGTATAAGGTGCATCCTGTGATAAAGATAGCCAATTTTTTCTGTTAGTTGGGTAACTTTGCACCAAATAAATGGCCCAAATCTTATATAACCCAATT